TTATTTCTTCACACAGCACAGAGCTGAACTATGGAACTCACGCCCACAGCAGGCAGTGATGTCCACCAAACTAGATGACTTTAAAAGATGATAAAGCTTTCAGCTGCCGGTGATGATGACAAAGCTCTGGAAACTGCAGGATGGCTCTTGTGCTTAAATCCTCCTTGCAGGTTTCCCACAAGCATTTGGTTGGCCACTGTGAGAACAGGACGCTGGACTAGATGGGCCATTGGCCTGGCTCACCTTATATTATTGTGGTCTTATGACCTAGAGAGGAGAGTGGTGCCACTGGTAGCTCTGTTGGAAGGAAGAACAAGCAAAAGAGGCTTGAGCCAAGGAGTCAGCCTCTTTTCTTTTGGCCTTAGGCCCATCCCTGGCCATCCATCGCATTGTCCCTCCCCTGGCCAAGGGTGGGTCAAAGTCCAGCTCAAGCATGTGGGGTGGCACCCGCCCAGGTGAGCCCTGCTCAGTGCCGCAAACCCTGCCCACCTGTGGGGAAGGGAGGGTGGATATTGTGGTCTTATGACCTAGAGAGCAGAGAGTGCAGTGGTAGCTCTTTGGGAGTGAATGGGTGCCACCACTGGGAAGTCCCTGGCTTGTTTCCTATTCCGGCATTTATTCTATATGTCAGGGGTCAGCAAACTTTTTCAGCAGGGGGCCGGTCCACTGTCCCTCAGACCTTGTGTGGGGCCAGACTATATTTTTTTTGGGGGGGGAAATATGAACAAATTCCTATGCCCCTACAAATAACCCAGAGATGCATTTTAAATAAAAGGACCACATTCTACTAATGTAAAAACACGCTGATTCCTGGACAATCCGTGGGCCAGATTTAGAAGCGCCGATTGGGCCGGATCCTTAGTTTTGCCTGCCCATGCTATATGTGGAGGAGGCTGCTCACATCATTCTTCTTGAGTTGAGGGGGAAGATCTGGAGGGGAATGTTGTAATCGTGTTGAGCTGAACGTGTTTTCAGCCTTCCTTGTGACTGGGGGATCTTGTGGCAATCAAAATGGGGACTATATCACCTTGAGCTATGTGGTATAGTGGTTGGTGTTAGACTAGGACCTGGGAAGCCAGGGTTCATATCCCCACACAGTTGTTAAGTTCACTGGGTGACCTTGGCCACTGTCTCCCAGCCTAAGCTATCGCACAGGGTGGATGAGAAGATAAAATGAGGAGTAGGCTTGAGCTTCTTGAAAGAAAATGGGATACAAATGGAAAAGGTGGTGATGAAGATGAGGATGATGTGTCGTGATATGTCATTTTGTCAAGATATTCTTCTTGCCTGAGCATCATATGTACTATTATTTATTAAATAATATTTGTGTCCCATCCTTTCCAGCAGAAAAATTCAGGGAATTTGTCCCTCCCTACTCCCCTGTCTGTGGATGTGGGTGGCGCTGTGGGTTGAACCACAGAGTCTAGGACTTGCTGATCAGAAGGTCGGCGGTTTGAATCCCCATGACGGGGTGAGCTCCCGTTGCTCGGTCCTTGCTCCTGCCAACCTAGCAGTTCAAAAGCATTGTCAAAGTGCAAGTAGATAAATAGGTACCACTCCGGCGGGAAGGTAAACGGCGTTTCCGTGCGTTGCTCTGGTTCGCCAGAAGCGGCTTAGTCATGCTGTCTGTCTGTCCCTCAGGCTATAGAGCGAGATGAGTGCCGCAACCCCAGAGTCATTCACGACTGGACCTAATGGTCAGGGGTACCTTACCTTTACCTTTACTCCCGTTTATCCTCACCAGATCCTTGTGAGATGGTCTAGGAGGGAGACAGTAATGGATACAACGTCACCATTGTGGCTGAGGAAGAATTTGAAGAGAGGTCTCTCCAGGCTACGTCCAGCATGTTATCCGTCTTAACACATCTGTTGCAAACTGGTAACTAAAAATGTCTTCCTTGGAGGGCCAGCAATCCATGTGTTTTTAATACAGTCCTTGAGGAAGGGAGCCCTGGCCAATTGCTTGTTCTCTGGCACATGGACACATTTTTCACATCAATGTTCCCTCTTTCAAGGCATTTGCTTCTCTCTCCTATACATAATGGTTCCTGCCATGTGAACTGCACATGCATGTTAAATGTGGGAAACCACCGCATGGTAGAGTTTCCTGTTTTGGCAAGGCTGCATGACTAACACAAGTAAGTTGAATAGTTTGCATTAAGCCACAGGTCATGGCATCACAATGTTCTGGGGTGGGGAAGATGCTAAACTTAACAAAAATCCAAACAGATGAAATGCACTTGGTAGGCAGTGCTAAGTTTTGTCTTTAGACTCCAAAAGTGTTCTCAGTTGATTTAGAATTGTAGCAATATTCCACCCACCCACCCAATTGCCCAGTCAAACCATTTTTAATTTGTCTTGTCTGCTAGCAAGTATCTCAGTGTCTGATGGGTGGGAAGGAATGAGAGCTCCTGTCCAAGGAGTGAGCCAACAGATGGTTGCTTCACCGGGCATATATGTTACATCAGTGTATTAGGTAGCAAGGAAGATATTCCACTCTGCCTGGCCACAGAGGCAGATCTGAGATGTTATGATTGACTTTTAAAATCTATGGAGATATTCCTATACTCCTTTTGTGGCAGCAGTGGTGGGACAAAGAATGTAGAATCGTTTAAAGTTGCACCATTTCACTTCAGTGATGAAAACCACAGTCATTCAACCTGGCCAGCTTGTGATAAACACTAAAATATTGCTTGGTTTTGGGGGTGGGTCGGTGAACCAACAGCAGGAAGGGATTTTTCAAATAAAACCGCAAGAATCCTGTTCAGGAGGTTGCATCTTTAAAACCGCACACAAATATCTGAGAGGCAGGAAATACCGTTAGGTGGCATCCAAGCATGATTCAAAGTGTTAGTGCTGACCTTTAAAGCCCTAAACGGCCTCGGTCCAGTATACCTGAAGGAGCGTCTGCACCCCCATCGTTCTGCCTGGACACTGAGGTCCAGTGCTAAGGGCCTTCTGGCGGTTCCCTCACTGCGAGAAGCCAAGTTACAGGGAACCAGGCAGAGGGCCTTCTCAGTAGTGGCACCCACCCTGTGGAACGCCCTCCCACCAGATGTCAAAGAGAACAACAACTACCAGACTTTTTAGAAGACATCTGAAGGCAGCCCTGTTTAGCGAAGCTTTTAATGTTTGGTGGACTACAGTATTTCAATATTTTGTTGGAAGCCGCCCAGAGTGGCTGGGGAATAAATGAATTGTTGTTGATGATGTTTGTTGTTGTTGTTGACAGTCAGTATGGTTAGAGTGCCAGACTCGGGCCTGGGAGACCGGCGTTCAAATCCTCACTCAGCCATTAAGCTCACTGGCTGACCTTGAGCCAGTCATTGTCTCTCAGTCTAACCTACCTCACAGGGTTATTGTGGGGATTTAATGAGGAGGGGCGGGAAAAAACCATGAATGCAACCGTGATCTCCTTGGAGAAAATGGTGGGATTTAATTTCAATAATTAAAATAAGTGCGCATGCACACGAAAGCTCATACCAGTAACTAACTTAGTTGGTCTCTAAGGTGGTACTGGAAGGAATTTTTAAATTTTATTTTATTTTATTTATTTATTTTGTTTTGTTTTGTTTTAAAATAATAAATATTTCCCTTGTCCTCCTATTATTGCATCCTGGATCTGCCCCAGGCATGCTAGCTCCTTCCATACTATTTGTTAGTTGATCTGTCACCAGTGGTCAATCTGTTACAATTCAGGAAACACAGGCCATTTCCACACAGTAAGCAGTTCTTGTTCCAATGAGCTTTGCAATGCAAATGCAAAACCCACATTGGCTAGAGTGTTCATTTGCATTACAAACATTCCTCCTCCACTTTTGCCTAGGTGTGAATAATCATAAGTGGTGAATGTAGGCAGCCACAGAGAAAAGCAGCTTAGAGTTTTTGCGCCCCTCTGCTGAAAATGGCTTCAGGGCGAGTGACTTCTGTTGTGCTTTAGCAGCCACTTATCCAAGTATTCATAAGCCTAGAGGCTTCTCAGCT